AACTAATGATTAAATTAAGGCATTAATCAACAACAGAAGCCATTTAAGAGATTGTAAATTTTTACAGTGTCTTCCAATAAATCTGGTAACCTTGAACGCTTTAAATGCAATAAAATCTGTATGTTTTAGATTACTATATTTAACATATCGGCTAATTTGAAAGTTTTAATGTGGATTGTATATTTCATTTTTGTTTATAAACTAATATAATATTTAATCAATTTTTTTTGATTAACGGATTAAAAATAATAAAAATTGACACTGCATACTTGGAATAATAGTTCCACCAGAAGTGTCACTAGTGTGTTCTTGCATGCATTGAACCTCACCGATTGTTTTCTTAACTACGGGATTTTCTTTACGAGCAAACTTCTTGTGGACGTTAGCAGTCTGCGTATATATAAAACAAATTAAAAACAATATTATGACACGAAACAAATTACAGGAAAAACAAAATAAATTTCCATATTCTCTTTGATTAAATACATTGTTTATAAACCGAATATCAAAATACCTGAATTTCAAGAGCTCGTAATTGTTTATTATCAAAATCCTCCATCAGCGTCTTGATTTCTTGGACGACTTTTTCTAAGTTTTGTTTAGGTCCAGTAATCTAAAATACAAACAAAAAATACAACAAATTTTAGTTATATTTTGATTTTTATAATAAATGATCGTTGCAATAATTTATTTTGATCAAATAACACACACAAAGAATTTAATGAATCTAATTAACTCATTACAAAAATATTATAGATTACAATTTTATTGCGCTTACCTTAATTGTATTCTTGTATTCGTCTCTGGTAGGGATTAAAATTTTTACCTTGTATTTATTACATAGATCTCGGACAGTGTTCCCGTTGAAGCCTATTAACGGTCTCCGATATTTGACCGGTACGTCAAGCTAACGATAAAAAAATACAAAACAATAAATTAAAAACAATATTTAAAAAGTTAAAAAATAAATTCTAAAACCAACTTACGTCTATTGTTTGCTTTGTTTGTCTTTTGAAGACTACAAATTTATCCTGTTCAAAATTTTCAAACAACAATAAATTAATATTGATCTATACAATTACTGTAATATTACATTTGTCTAGGTTTATTTACTATGTACAAATAGTTTGTTCAAATCAACATTATATGCGTATATATTGGAATTCGGTAGACGAAAAAAGGATTTTTAAAAAAAAAAATAGTCCTTACATAAATTCGATAGTGTAAATAGTCGGAAATTTATCCGGAAGCCAGGTTGTTCATGAGTGTATAAGAATGTTTGACGAATGATATGTGAAGTTTTTTATAGGTTAAAGATGCAAGTTTATAATATTTCATAATACAAAGGTCATGGTACAATAAGTTGTGTAGGACATATAAAGGGTGGTTAACTAGGTTTTATTATAATCCTTTTATTGATTATAATAAATAATGTCCAGCACTTTACGAATCGGATCGATTTAAAGAATTAATAATTCATATCATCTGGGAAGAATAATTAGTTTTAAAGTTTGATATACAGATTACTCATTAAATATATATACAAAAGTGAATCGAGACAAACATAAACGAGTTTTATAATAATATTAACAAATAATTCATTAGTTTTAACTGATGTTTTTACATTAGTTTGAACTGTGAAGATTTTGTCGATAATTTATCAAATTTAATTTTCAACACTTGGTAATTGTATTTTAAAAAGTACCATTTAAAGACACAAAATGCACGTTGATATATTGTAAGAGAACAAAATAAAATACCTGATTAACCAATTTTGGTGATTTAATTAAACCTTGAAGTTTTCGATTGATCTCTATGTTTTTTGTTCCTAAAGCTTTCGCTTCTTGTATAGCCGGGAACTCTTGATTATACGTTTTATCATTGTCCCGTGTATCCTCATCGTCTGTAGATAAT